ATTCAATAGTAAGTGTATATAGCCCCTAACTCAGTGGGGCGTAATTAATAATGTTGATTTTAAACTGTTGGAGACATAGTACACAAAGGTACCCTCCTTAGCATGACAGGCTAAAAAAATGCATTGGTGATAGACTAACATGAAAGATTGACATGACAGACTGACAAAAGCATGACAGACAGACAGATTGGAGTGGTTTATACACCTGGAAGTCACCACTGATGATGTAGTCAAATCCATGTAAAAATAGATCTCTGTGTTTTTCATTAACTGATCTTTGGTTGTCCTGGCAAAAGGAAATAACAAAATATATCTGAAATGTTGTATAGTGAACAGTTATCAAAACACAATGACCAGGAAATAGTGATGTATTTCAAATTTTTAATGCATAAAATAAATTAACATAAGGAAAATAAAAAATGCACACGTAAAATTAAACTGAACACATTGAAAAAAGTTCTTCTAACAAAACTGAACACATTGAAGACCTTTCTTCTGGTTAGTCTGATTTCTTGTCATAAAACTGGACTTCCTGTTTTGGATGAGATGAACTTCCAAAGAGCAGAGATAACCGAGAAATAATAATTCTGACACACTTGAGAAGTATAGTCACTGCTCCCACCAGAAATATAAATATTGCTGCCACAATTATCACTGTTGAGAATAAGGTCAGTTCATAACTCTGGGATGGCATGTTGATATCCTTGAGGAAAAATTTATAAAATGTGTGCTCTTGCAGAATGACAAAAATATTTTTCTATATGTTTGCAAGTATTCATTGCTGTCTTGAAAGCTGCTAATATTCTTTGACTGGATTTTTGAAACAGGAAATTTTCTCTTTTTATTCATTGTAGGTCATCCTTGTTGCTTTTCTCTGGCAAGCATTCTCATTAGGATTTAGCTGCAGCAAACTAGATTAAAAGAAAAAAAAATATATAAAGTTACAGTAAAATATCACTTTATTGAATGTTACTTACAAGTAAAAACATTTCAATCACACAAAATTAAAGAATCTGGAATTCAATTCATTTATTGTCAGGAATTATGTTCTGTTGATTACTCAGATGGAATTAAGACTGAAAATGAAAAACTCTAAATATTTAAAAACTCTACAAAGCACTTATTTCTAACAATACCGTCATACATGACAATGAAATGAGTTTTGACATTGGATGGATATCAGACACATATCAAGGTTTAGAGATGCAGACAGACTAGGTCATAAAACACTTAGATTGACCAGGGTTTTCTAATGATTGATTTTTCAAGGTTTGCTACATGTTACAATAAAATAAATGTAATTTGCTGGTGTAACCAATCAAATTTCTTTCAATATAAGAGTAAACTCAGTATGACTTGTATTGATCAATACAGTTAAATATCCTTATATCTCAAAATGATGGGACTGAGAAAAAAATTAGATATTCAAAGATTCGAGAGATTAAATAAATACTTTTAAAAATTCTTCTACTATTAATATTGCTGAGGACAAAGAAATACTGTGGACATTATTCTCCAATAATTTAATTCTGGTTGTAATGTGTCATTCAATTGGATAAAAATTTCATCTAAATTGTATAACCTGGGTTGCCTCCGTCAAAAACTTATCCATCCGCTTGACGTTAAGTTTAAAATATGAACAATTTGCAGACTTTTTAAGGGAGAAATTTTCTTGTTTTCTTTACTTAATTATGATTGAAATTGAATTTAAATAATAAGGAATGAATAAAACAGCAATCCAAGTTAAACTGCTATAACCTGGGTTGAAGCAGTTTACGCCTTCTAATAATCCGCTTCATGATTTAACACTTTGAACGCTTTTCAACACTTTCTGACTGTCGCTTATAAACCATTATGAATAATATTTTCATCGATACAGTTACTTCACAGTAACATTCGTAAGAAAAATAGGGGGTATATATCCCATCTACAACATATTGCTTACACCCCGGACAGAACATTGCTTTTTCGTAAATATCATAAAATACAAATTGTATCATTTACAAACGATTAGTATAGATAACATTGTATTTAAAAAATGATGGTAAAGAAAAGCTTTGTTCTGATATTTGATCATAAACACAGTGTAGCGTCAATCTTGCTCCGATCCTCAGAACTGTGTTGAGGTGTTTGATACAAATAGAATTAGAAAGCTAGACTAGTGTCCAGTGGATTCATGAGTATTTTCATTCAGTATTTTTTAGAGGGGTGGTGAAATAGAAAGACGACAAACATATCTTGACGAGCCCCTATACTATAGTCTGACCTGTTAAATGATACAAAACATATAAAGTACTTTTTAACCTGAATATCTTCAGATATCTCAAGATACACTCGTATATATTCTTACCTAACCGTAAAGGGAATGATTCCGGGAATGCCTCAAAAGCTAAACACAAAGAGGAACCACTTGTGGCTATGTTACCGAGAAGGTACTTCACGTAGGATGTATTTAATCCGGATTGTACTTATTCCAAAATATCTACAGGGACAGGTAATATACTCAATACTTTGTTTGATGTAACGTATCACTTATTACAACAACCAACAAGACGTGTTTGTGGAACACTGATGCCCCCGTATGTCAATATAGCGAAGATTAAACTTTTCTGGACCTTGTTGAATGTAAATTTTAATATGTTGGTGCCCAAAGTAAGGTCTGCTCACAAGAAATATTAAATATAAAAGCCCTAGCACCACCTGTTCAAAAGTTATGATCAAGGATAAGCTTTAGAAAGGTAAGTCAAACTCCAGGGTCAAGGTCAAAGGGTCAAAGTTGTTGGTTTCTAAGAAAGCCCTGTAAGGTCTTGTCAAAAGGATAAATATGTGAAGCATGAAAGATCTAGCCCTGACCCTTCAAAAGATATGACCAATGTTTGTTTTTAAAAAGAAGGTCAAAATCCAATGTCAAGGTCAAAGGGTCACAGTTTTTAGAATCCAATGAAAGGTCTTCTCACAAGGATTTTATGTGAAGTATGAAAGCCCTAGTCTCAACCGTTCAAAATTTATGGTTTAGGTTAAGATTTTTCCCCAAGTATGTAAATCTCCAAGGTCAAACGGTTAAAGTTGTTGGTGTCCAATGAAAGATCTTGTCACAAAAAAATACATATGAAAGTCCTAGTACGGTATCTACCGTTCAAAAATTATGGCCAAAGTTAAAGTTTGTAATTTGTGTAAAAGTTTGTGTCAAACTCCAAGGTCGAGGTCGAAAGGTTAAATTTGGTGATACCCAGGGAAAGATATTGTCAGAAGGAATACACTTGTGAAATATGAAAGTCATAGCTCCACTGAATCTTTCGTTTCGGGGGCATAATAGTTTTACTTCTCTTTCGAACACGGTTCTTCGGTGAGCATACATTTTACTTCCGCTTCTCACTCCCGTCGTTCGTCTACCTGAGGCCTGTTCAAAAGAGCGAACGCTCGCGAATATTTTTTTTTGGAGGTATAACGAAATTTGGTGAGCGCCGCGACCGTTCGCTCTGTTGAAGAGGTCTCTGTTTACACGTAAGCTATCGGTAGATGTAGATGAAAATTTGTTTACTGAATGATTTCTTATCCAATGAATCTAGTGTTGATATTGACTAAAATCTACGTTGAATCAAGGCCCCATCTTAAAAATGAACTTATAATCTTAATTTATAAAGCATACTTCTACATTGCTCCTCGTTCAACTCGCATTGTTGCTGAAACTATTGCAACCATTTTGACATCCTAGTGTTAGATGGCGTGCGAACATTATTATACTCCCTTTTATGATTTTATTGTTTGTATTAAAGCAATGTTGGACAATAGCAGTGTGAACTCTAATAAAACCATATCAAGTAGATAACCTGTCAGCATTTTAATTTTTTTCTGATTTACATCGTTCACATCATCGGCATCCCAATACTGGACGATATCGAGTTGACAATGACATTGTGTTGTGTCAACATTGCCTTCTTTTTTTCTTGTTTATATCGTTCGCATCGTCGACATCACAACGTTGGACGATATCGAGTCGACATCGCGTCAACATTGAACTCTTGTTTACATCATTAACATTGCCGTATCGCAACGTTGGATTAACTGCAGGGACGTAGCAACAGGGCGGGGGGGGGGGGGCTGGCCCCCCACTTTTTTCCCCAACATTACCTTTACCATTGAAAATGTCCATTGAAAGGTTGGTCCCCCCCCCCTTCTTACCACAATATAGAAATATGAAGGAAATGTAGTATTGTATGGAAAAAAAATGGAAGTGAAAGGAAGTTGGCCTTGAAAAAAAGTTGGCCACTACCCACTCCGCTATACGCTCCATTCAAACCTCGGATGTGAAAGGTGGAGTAATACGCATTAAGTCGATACATTTCTCAGCTGGAAACTTGCTCGTCACTCATTTCATATTTCGCTCTGCCTAAAGTTTTTCGAAAAGATTTCTTTATTTGAGTAATTCCTCATGTTAATTACAACAATATGTTAGTAGTCTTTGAAAGCAAGAATTAACACAGTGTTGAGCCTGCAACAAAGTAACTCGGATTTAAAAAGTATAATATTTGAATGAGATTCAAATAAGATCACTTGACTAACTCTGCAAGATGGTACATCGAACACCTTTGACGTCCGAGGATAGTGTTCGGTTAATGGAGCTCCGAGTGATCAAATACCGGTATAGTTTTGCGCATCATTGCCCAGCTAGTGTTACATGGGCTCATTAAGAGCAATAATAATCAAAAGTACCCAAGAAGATTGATCAATATTCTGGAGAATTGGATATTTTTGCTATAAATAGATCTATGCCACGTATACGTTTACAATTACATAGATATGATTCTCAAGTACTTGCATCATTCACTTCTATTAACTTTAAGTTGATATCCACTACGAAAGTCAAATCATGAAAAGTTTAGTCACATAGATCTACTTTACGATGATGAATAATTGGCACATACATGTATTTTGTTTTGTACATGTCCATATATACTTCAACTTAAAAAAAAAAAAAAAGGAAATTGATGTTATTCCGGCTCGAAACCCCCTAACAATATCAGTCCACGATCAGGAATTTCTTGTTGGTTTAACCTTGAAGGTGGATTTTTATAATGTTTTCTAAGAAGTTGCAAACTTTCTTGATATTATTGAGTATATTTCATAACGGCCATACAGGTAGGTGGGTATAACCAGCTATATGGTGAATATATTGTTAACTGAAGTTTATAGACATGTATATATGCCGGTATCATAAAACATTTGTATTAATTAATGGTCGCTACCTCTGATCACATATCATTCTTTATGTCTCTAAGATACAACAGTATTGCCCACAGCAAGTTTTTCAAAGTCGTCCGTTACAGATGACCCCGAAGCAACAAATGTAACTTTGTCAAACATAACTCTGACGAATTCAAGTAAAACGGATTCAACATCAAAATCAACGCTAGCATCAACAACACAAAAAACTGGAGGAAACACAGGTTAGCTTATTAAGAAAAAAAAAACAACCTCATTTTTTTTTTGTCTTCAAAAAATAATCCCCGCCCAAAATCTCTCTTTCTCTTTCTCTCTCTCCCCCTCTCTCGTTATAGGTCTGCACAAGTCCACCTATATTATAAACGTCTTTTTCTTGAGAAAAGAAAAACGATTAGAATTATTTTTTGTTGTTTATTTATTTTCTTTTTTATTTACAACAAAAGTTCTGATCTAAAAAAAAAGGGGGGGGGGTCGATCTGGACTCATGGACTCTTTATTGGAGTCGTGCATCAAGAGCCCTGAGCTCACTGGTGACTAATCCATGATTGCTCAATCTCAGGACCTCTAGAGGATGAAACTCATTCTGATGTATAACGTTATCTAATATATTTTTTTTATTCATACACACTGAAAATTGATAAAAGCATTTAATCTCGTTTTCTTCTGTCATGCCTAATATATCATATTTTAAAAAAATCTGTAATCACTTATTAACACTTCCCCCGTTCTCTCGATTTTAATTAACTAATTAATACTATATCCGACTTTTAATTAAAAGTATTTTTCTATATTTCACACTATCTATCTTTCCCTAGCGGGAAAAAATAGAGTCAATGGGGAGATAACGCGGAAGACTGCATTACGTCTGCGCATGTGTGTCAATAAAGAAGCCATTGCTCCTCCAAGGTTGACTCGAAACTAACCGACAAATATAATTTTTTGCGGCTTAGAAGAAAGATGAGATCGAACAAATTATTTGTTCTATGTGCTGTACTGTTCACAGCGTTAACTGGTATCGATCAAGGTAAGAAAATTTGGTCTGATATGTTTTTTCTCACAATCGAAAATTAGGGTCACATACGTAAAAAAAAGCACCATCTATAATCAGCTGATCAAGTAGTGTACATTGACATTTTATGAATCAACGCACTTACAACGGTTTGCAATGACGAATATCATGTGCTCTCACAGAAATTTTTATGCCAGGTTAAATAAAGACTTATTTCTGTAGAGTTAGTACCCCAATAGCATATGTTGTGCAGTTCTCCGTTTGATGTGTTGACTGGTGTCAACAAAGTTTTGTGTATACAATACAATATTAATGATGTGTGACATCATGTGTCCATTTCAACCAATGTCAATTGTCATGCATTGATTTAATTCACTACCTGGACTGCAACAAGGCCAAGTAACCTTTGGTATAAAATATTATAGCATACACTAAATATAGCTCATGAGACATGAATTACCCCAGTCCTTTTCCAACTGAGTTGTATAAAAACTATAAAAGGATAAACATAGCACAACAAAATGTAAAAAGATGCTTTGCATGAGACTCTTGCCCATGTGTTGAAGGATTAACTTTTGGCAATGTTAAGGTTCACAAAGGTGTGACCTGAAAAAAATCATCCAAATGACTCTGCACACATTTTCATAACACGCTCTAGTGCTTCTTGAAAAATAATGCAAGGATGAATTTAAGGTATCGGGGTGTATTGTTATGAACTTCAAAAGTTCTGTTTCACTCTAATGATTTATTTATTTCCCCAGAAACACACAGAAATGCATTAACAAATTATTTAGGGTTTATTTCCTCATTTAGGCCATAATAAAAAAATTCTAGATTCTCATACTCATCCATAGTTTTTAAAGTATCATTGTGGTTGCATGTGCAGATTTTATTATATGTTTGTTATTTGTCTTCCTTTGTACTTATTTTTTTTTTTTGGAGGGTGGGGGGATAAACAATGGGGAGGGAATATGAGGCAATTAGGAATAAGAGTGTTGTTTTTTTTTTTAATGGGCTTAAGTCGTATTGCCTTATAACTCAATTATTACTTGTTAGTGATCACAGTTCATAATGAATTGTTGAAAAGAATCAAATCTCATATATAACCTGGAAAACTATAACCTATAATTAAAACTATATACTATAAACTATAAAGTAATTGGTGTTGCTTTTTGCTGTTCCTTATAGTTTCTGTGGGGAAAATAATCACAAGACTGTAATTTATCAGTTATAATATATTTTTGGTAAAGAATGTAACATATAAACATCAACCGATTTAAAAATAATGGAAATTTTTACAATATAGGGATGTGTTAGATTGCTGTCAGCTAGGGGAGTGAGTTGTCCTTAGTAATTTTTTCAGTGTACGTGTATTACAATACACTAGAAAATCACTGCTACTTTTTCCTCAATAATCCAGTCTGATGACCGTTTTGTGTTATTAAGAAGTTTTTGTTTCCTAGTGCACTCTCAAATTGAAATTGTGTACTGTAGTCCTTCAGTGACCAAAACACTTATTATTGTCAAATAACAAATATGTCTCCAAGCTACATTTACACCAGCAATAATTATTTGGTTAACAACGCTGTTGTTAAAAGCATAATTATTCTCGATAGTTCTTTTGGGTAAATGCACATCTGTAGAAATATTCCACCATTTACATGTTTATGTTATTCATGGTCATACAGGTATCTTAAATTGTATGGTAAATTGAGGACAAGTTACATTTAGTCAGAATGGAGATTTTATTGATATCAGTTTACTCCTATTTGGAGTAAGTAAGATAAAATGCATGATCATAAATTATTAAAATGAACTTCGGGAATTTATTCCTTCTCACATTAAAAAACCCAGATTTTTTTTCAAGTCGATTAGGAATTGTAATTAGTTAATAAATGTCTTCTTTTAATTTAACTTCATCCAGTGTTTAAAGAAAGAGACCTTTAGAATTATAAAGTAAATGACAATTAAGATAAAAAAAAGACTAACAATTCTTTTCCCAAAAAAGTTTTTTTTTATTAAATCAGCAATTTATTTAAATTGTTATGTAAAGTCAATCTACAGAATTGTATTGGACATCAGGCATGGCATTCATAAGTCTTGTCCATGAAGAAAATTTTTCTCTAACTTGCTTTTAATGATCAGTTTGACTTATTTTCAAATGTCAAAACTTTCTTGCATTTCATGGAATTATATGACTAGACCTTTGAGATTTTAAAAAAAATATTTTTCACTTGAATTTGATTGTCCACATTAAAAACAATACTCCATTAAATCTGCTGAATGTGGATTCATTGAATATTTCATATGTTATACTACAATTTGGAGTATTGGTTAACAATTAAGAGTCAAACTTTTAAAATCCTTTATCCATAAATAATGTCTATGTAAATACTAGGAAATAGATGATGCAAATCAATATTGCAGTTTTGTTCATGTACAGTAACAAGTTTTCAAGGAAACATTTTATAGGTATGATACCCAATTGATTGCTTGAATGATCAATTTACTTTGTAAATATTTATCTAAAAATGATTGGGCTGGAAACTGAATAAACATGTCAGTGTTCAAGAGTTTTGTTATCTTCAGAATAAATAATTCTCTCATCTGTTTGACACTGTTTTGTTTATAATGGCTATCAAAAATTATCTACCTTTATTGACATGATTTGAGACTGTGCAAAAGAATCATCTCTTGCTTACAGTGGTGTGACATGAATGTGTTCGTAAAATGGTGTCACTGATATAGCTTCCGGTTCTCTCTTCAGTGATGTATTTCTCCATTAATATTCGACATTTATATCCGATCGGAAATAAATAATTTTTATTCCTTTTAACCATGTCTTATTCTTAATTTTTTTTACATAAACTTTAACATGCCAGTTGTAAGTGAGGTGGATTACACTTACGTCCAAATTTTTATTGCCTGTATAATGTCTATCTTTGCTTAAAAAAAGTGGGGATGGACCCCCTGGTTCCAACACCTATGTAAGATAAAATGAAATGTAGGGTTGTGGATGAAAAAGGATGCCTCTTCTTTCAAAATTTTAATACTGTAGATCACTAAATTTTCGCGACACCTTATTTTCGCGAGATAGTCATTGACTCTTGATTAGAGAGACAAAATTTTCGCGAATTGTGGTTATTGCTCTGTATAATCTTAAGGAATACTATTATACGCGAGATTTAAATTTTCGCGAGTACACTGTCTCGCGTAATTACGCGAAAATAAAGTTCTCGCGAATAAAAAGTGATTTACAGTATTTGACCATTAAATATTTGTAGGTCATCAATGATTCTATTCACCATGTTTCTATTATACCAAAATTGTCAAATTTTCAACCTTTCAATATTTTATGTATCACTTTTACATTACATGTAAATAAATGATTTAGAATCTTCCTTAAACAGAATCATTTATAATGATATTCTCTTCTTCAGCTGCTGGTGATGTGCTCGTTGATCAAGGACTTCATGTATATTCTACTGGTTCAAACCTGTCAATCACCTGTACTTACAACAGCCAGACAACTCTGAGCTCTAGCGATGTGCAAGGCTTGGCATTTTATGACAGATTCGATAGCAAGTTTGATACCAACAGAGGGTTCACACAGGACCCCAAGATGAAGGATTTAAAAACCATCACTGTAACTCTGATGAAAGAAAAGGTGTCTCGCTCAGACGCTGGAAGATATGTCTGCAAATATAAAACTACATCTAGTATTTATACCGAAGTTGTGGTAGTACACTGTAAGTAATTGTTATTATTTTTACCTGAAAGAGTTTTGATTATGACAGTGCATCATTTAAGTGTCATGTATTTATAGTAATTTACATGTGGGTATATAAAGAATTCATGTGATCTTGTAGCCATTTGAACTTAAGTTGGGATCGTACCAGCACTATGAACAAGAAATTCATTATTGCATGAATGTTTCCTTGATCGTCTATCTTTAGCTCACCTGAGCTGAAAGTTTGGGGCCTCATCATAAAGTTTACTTAACTAAAAGATACACCTTTGTAAAAAAAAATACAGACAGCTGCAGTCTTATCAAAGATTACTAGTTAGATATACATTTAATTTTTAGCTCACCTCGACGAAGTCGAGATGAGCTTATGCTATACCAACGGCGTCCCGGTTAAAGTTTTAGGAGCAAGTCCATTCCCAAGTAACTATAAGCCCTACCTGGACCAAATTTGCATGGATGATGCATCTAGGGATGGACACTACCAGACTTGCTTCGGATGCTGGATGTGACCTACATTTTCCAGATGAGTGACCAAGTTAAAGTTTTAGGAGCAGGTCCATTCCCAAGTAACTATAAGCCCTACCTGGACCAAATTTGCATGGATGATGCATCTAGGGATGGACACTACCAGACTTGCTTCGGATGCTGGATGTGACCTACATTTTCCAGATGAGTGACCAGGTTAAAGTTTTTGGAACAGGTCCATTCCCAAGGAACTATAAGCCCTACCTGAACCAAATTTGCATGGATGATGCATCTAGGGATGGACACTACCAGACTTGCTTCGGATGCTGGATGTGACCTACATTTTCCAGATGAGTGACCAGGTTAAAGTTTTTGGAGCAGGTCCATTCCCAAGTAACTATAAGCCCTACCTGGACCAAACTTGCATGGATGATGCATCTAGGGATGGACACTACCAGACTTGCTTCGGATGCTGGAAATGACCTACATTTTCTAGATGAGTGACCAGGTTAAAGTTTTTGGAACAGGTCCATTCCCAAGGAACTATAAGCCCTACCTGAACCAAATTTGCATGGAAGATGCATCTAGGGATGGACAGTACCAGACTTGCTTCGGATGCTGGGTGTGACCTACATTTTCCAGATGAGTGACCAGGTTAAAGTTTTTGGAGCAGGTCCATTCCCAAGTAACTATAAGCCCTACCCGGACCAAACTTGCATGGATGATGCATCTAGGGATGGACACTACCAGACTTGCTTCAGATGCTGGATGTGACCTACATTCACCAGATGAGTGACAAGATTATTCCTAAGTAACTACAAGCCCTTCCCGGACCAAACTTGCATTGATGATTCATCAAAGGATGGACAATTGAAATTGCTTCGGATGCTGGATCTGACCCACATTTTCCAAACGAGTCACAAGGTTATAGTTTTTGTAAAAGGACAATCTCCAATGAATTTTAAGACCTATTTAAACAGAACTTGCTTGAATATTATTGTCAGAATAAAAACCAACTGTTTCGAAAATATGATGTGAGATTTGCATTACCTAAACTGATAACATTCGTCGAAGTGAGCTTCGTAATCTTTGATTACTTATGTTTTTTTTTATCTTAGTCATTTTTTTTTTCATCAGTTGACACAACCTCTGATGAGTACAACACCACTCTTGGCAATAAACAAAACAACAAATTGGAATGCAAGTACACAATAAGCCGAGAAAATGCTTCAGGTAGTCTTCAAGAGGAACTAAAGTGGAAAATGGGGGATAAGCTTGCAACCAGTGTTTCCAGTAGACACAAACTCAATGGAACCAACACACTTATCATTGAAAACGCTGGTAAAAACTTTATATTTGTAAGCTCACCTGAGCTGAAGGCTCAAGTTAACTTTTCTGATCAAATTTTGTCCACCATCCGTCTGTCCATCTGTGAACTTTTCATATTTTCGACTTCTTCTCAGGAACCACTGAGATAATTTCAACCAAACATAAAATAACGTATCCTTGGATAAAGGGGATTCAAGTTTGTTCAAAGAAATAGGGTTTTGGCCATATATAGAGAATAATACATACCCTTTTCCATGTCACATTCTATATCAGCCCGAGACACCAATATCAGCCACAGGGCCAAAAGCCTGAGGGCTGATACAGGATGTGATGTGGAAAAGGTATGTTTTATTATCTTTATTACATACTTAGTAATAAAATACATTATTCATCAACTTGAAACAAAAAATCATGCACAGACTTCTGATATGTATGATAAAGCTTATTGTCTTGCACGGATTGAATACGTTTCTACTTCTTTTCAAATGTGACCAGTCTGTAATTTGAAACAATCTTTTGATGATCCATACAATCAAAATGTTAGCATTAAGGGTCAGTAAGGGAATGTGTACCCAAGAGAAATATGTGTATTATCACAAGTACTGTTTTTTGAGGTTTAATATACTAAGGGTGTGATTTTGTCCTGCATCAGCCTTACAGATCCATATCAGCCCTGCAAACTAAACAATGATTCCTTTAATAACATTGTTACCTGGAATATACTAGGATCAATTCACAGCACATGGTTTGTTTACTGAAATGTTTCTGTTTCGGCACTAAAGTATTAACTGATCAGAGCCTGAGATAAGCATGATACTCTGGTGACTGTTAAGGCCCATGGGCTTCTTGTTTGATAATTTTGGAAAAATGTCATTTGTGGTTAATTTCATATATCATTGATTTGTTTCAGAGTGGAGTGATGTTGGGCCCTACACATGTGAATTGACTGTACAGTCTCAGACTGTCTCTACAGTTGTTCCACTCAAAGGTTAGTAAAGACTTTAATCTCTGTATTCCATGAAAATGTTCAAAAATAATTTAATTAAATTGTCAGTAAATATATAGCAGAAGTCACAATCTATTTACCGTTATACACAAAAATGTGTACAAAAACTGAATATATTAAATATTTATAACAATTTGTACATATTTCTTTTTAATTTTCTTTTGATGTGTTTATTGTGTTCAGAGCTTATTAAATGTTATATAATGGATTTGTAAACGGAAGAATAATATTCCCTTATTTCCTTTCACATTGTGATTAAAAATTTCTCACTTCAGAACTGACACACAAGTTCTATAGAAAATTGTAAAAGATGAAATACTGTGATACATACTTTGATTAGAGTTCTTTAGTATCATGATATACCAGAATGCACTTTAGCCTCATTGTTACATCCTTCCTGAATGGTGATAGATGGCGGTCTACCACTGCATAACAATGTGATAATAATTATGAATGAACTAACTAGTATTTGTGTATACATAAGTTTAAGTTTTAGTAGACAAAAAGGTTACAGTTTATCAAACAAAAATCATTTTATCTATATAATCAGTTAACCATTATATTTGTAGGAGAACCAAAAATTGGGAAAATGGATACGTCAAAGAATGTAGTCCAGGAAGATGACGTGGAGCTGAAGTGCCCGGTCTCAGGTTTCCCCTACCCCTCCATCACCTGGAGAAAAAATGGCCAGCCCCTCCCCCAGGACAGGAGAATCACACTGGCTGCTGCTGATAATAAATATGAAAACGCCATTCTGTACATAAACAATCTCGAGTTTGAAGACAAGGGAGAGTATACTTGTAACGCAACCAATGAAGTTAACCCATCTGGAGTAGGGGCTACAATCACTTTGAGGGTTAAAGGTAAAGAAAATTTCCATAAAACTGGGTGAAACTCGAAGAACTAAGAAAGTCTAAAAAATTATTTAATTTTTGTCTTAATTTCAATTACCGGTAACATGAAATTTTAAAAAAAAAATTCAATAAGAAAAATGCCTTTTTTTTTTTAATCTATCATGATAAATGCATATGGAGAAGATAAAATAGGTATAAAATAAGATATGTTTCCATTTACAGACAAGTTTGCAGCTTTGTGGCCATTCCTGGGAATTGTAGCAGAGGTCATTGTGCTGTGCATTATCATCTTCATATACGAGAAAAAGCGAAGCCGTGAAATGGAGGATGAAGCAGATGGTGGTGATGATGTTGTGTAAGTAACTGGATAACGCAAAATAATTAAAGATGTGTATTAAAAGAAAAATATAATATAGGATTAAAATATGAGCAATGAGATGTTGAAGCCGATTTTCAATTGTTTTCTAGAAATGCTGATGACCACAAAGGAAAAGATGTCCGTCAGAGAAATGTCAGGACCTAAAACCCAGGGACGATTATCTGATCTCTACAAAAAGAAACATTCTAATGACACGCTACACAAGGCCTGCTGTGTATTATTACTGCAGGCTAACAAACATAATGCTTGGAATATAGAATCAAATGTATGCATAATACCTGCATATTTGTCTTTAGGATATCAAAATTTGGGCATTATTGGTCAATTTTTTTTTTAGAAACTTGAAAATATTAAGAAAAAAAAAAAATTGTCAAGAGTTCCTGAAAATAATATATGTGATCTTTCATAAATTACTGTAAGACCCTTCACTGTATAAGGTGTAGTATCTTAAATAGTAAATTTTAATGGTTGTCTGTACATTGTATTAGTAACTTACCTCTCACTAAAAAAGAAAAAGGGAAAAAATAATTCCCTACTGTCTTTGAAAGGGTCATGATAATTTCAAATGTTCAGGCTTGTTGAGTGAATGTAGAGTGAATGATGAGTTTTGAGAAACGTAAGCTTTAATGAGAATGAGTGCAGTGATGTTGTGTTTGCTAAATTCTGAGAGGTACTAAACTGTCCTTCAGTGTTTTAAATATAGCTTTTAAATATGGGATGTTAAAGTTTTGATGAAAGCTTTTTAAATATGAGAAGAGGAGGTTTTATTAGTTGTCTTATTAGCTGTTTGTTGATATGACTTAAGAGTAAATTTGTTGAACTGTCCTCTAAGTGAATCTTACTGAGGTGTAGTAGCTGCTAAGGAGATGCTGGTCTCACGGTTTTAGTGATGTGTACTGTTAAGAACTATCTGTTTAGTATACAAAGTCAATATTTGCATTTGTGTAAAATGTACATTTGTCGTAGAATTTTCACATATTCCAGAACCTCTGAAAATAAAAATGTTAAATCCACCAATTAATCATGGTTTGATTATTGAATTTATGATTTCTTTTTGAAATTACATGTAAGTGTATGTAAAATCATTTCTTTTAATAGTTTCAGTGCACTTTGCTTCGTTAGTATGGGTATTTGTGATATGTGTAGATAGTTGAAGTCTTCATATACATATGTATTTTAATGCAACTAGATATTACTCATATACCCCCATTTTCAATAAATGCTGTTATGTAAATACTGTATATAAACTGATAATATGGTTTATGATTTTTGTGTTTATATTCCATTTCCGTAGAAACCTGGTTTTTTTTTTCTCTGTTTTTGTTTCTGTCTTGTTTTCATTTTTTAAAAGCAAGTCCCTTCAAAAGTACTTTTCACATAAATTTAATATTGAAAAAAAAAACCTTTAAAAACAAACAAAATGTCTAGAGGATTTGATAAAAATACTGTAAACCAACTATTATTTGTGATATCTTTTATTTGCGATTTGTCAGTTTGAAACAATCCACTACGATTAATTTTCGCAACAGAGGGAACCTTCTTAACAAATACAAAGCAAAATTAGTGGTTCGCAAGGATTAATAACCACAAGTTAAAGTAGGTCGAGAAACTTGCTAATATTTCTCGCACACAAATAAGAGTTGGTTTACAGTAGTTCCAGTGTTGAACAGGAAAGTTATTCCCTTGATTTATTTTTTATCATATTGTATGAATGTCCCCTTGTTTATTATGTTTGTATCTAATTATTTAATAAAATAAAAAAAAAATAATTTGTTTTTCATCTATATTACATAGGAAAATGACTATATACATGTAAATATATTTAGTGTAATGTACATTGTACTGTCTAACATTGGAATCCTATATTTTTTTATTATTATAAGTACATTGATATAAAAATGATCTAGGGTACAGTGCAGATCACCATACAAAGAGGTAGTATGCATTGATTTGGGGGTCTCTCTTTCTTACTACCTATTTTCCGGCAGTTTCTATTTCCTTTTGTCCTTCCCTCTATCGTCCCCCTTTGTACCCTGCTTACCCGTACCCCTTATCCTCATAATATAATTAGTAAGGTTTCACAGCACATCCCAGTTATCTTTAAAGTTATCTCTATATAAGAATTGCAGAGAGATATATACTGCTGAATGTACTATGTTTGCAGTATGTGGGTAACATGCCATAATTTTTTTTATTGCCATTTTTCGATTGCATTTTCCTGCATATAATTTTGTATTATGGCTTATGTTTTGATGGTGCTGTTGCATTCATGCAAGAAAGACCAGTTGATGAATTCCATCCAGAAATTTTCTATGCATGTTAATAATGTCTGGTATAATTGTCTAAGAGTACATCTGATGATAATATTAGACCCACTTTCAATATGATATCCTTTGAATTTTTGTTCACAAGGATACCTGTGTTATGCAGTGTTTACTTTAATTACCTTTACGGAAGCTCTAAACACTAACAGAAACTGCTTTTTGGACTTGGAGAAAAATATATCGTGAAGTCGTGCATATTGAGAATTTTTTTTATTCATTTGTAACATAGGATACCTGCCTTATTTACTCAGGAAAAATGTTCAAAGATAATGGACTATTTGTGAGCAGAAATCACTGCTGTTTACCTGCATTGGGAAAATTAATGAAAATAATCAATTCAATTACTTAATCATGTAAATAACATTTTTTTTCAATCTTATTTCTAAGGGCAGATCACTCTAACTGCATAAAACTACCCTATAAGTAGAGCTCTTTAGTGTGCAGTGTTTAGAGCTTCCTTAAGGAATAAGAATTGATCATTTTTTTTAAAGGAGAGGCTCGAATTCATGGTGCTGGATTAAAATGGTTTAAAGAAAACTCGTCCTTTGAGATTTTTTGTTCGTACAGTTATGAGACGATTTCCCGGCCAGACTTGTTAAAATTTTATAATGGATCTGGTAGTGAATTCTCAGAGGAAAGTGGTTTCCGTAGGACTGTTATCAGCGCCACACAGACTCTGGTCAACATCTCACTGTCTAAGGACAGGATTCAGATCAGTGATGTAGGGAAATACAGCTGTAGATATGGAGATGGCCCAACAACCTATGTCTTTGTTGCTGTTGTTCAGGGTAAATGTCATATTGTCATATTACAGAATTTTTACTCTAATTGAGACACACAGACATAATTGTTGTTTAATGTATGTAATTGAGACACACAGACATACCTGTATCTTTGTCATTGTTGTTAAATGTATGTGCAGTTTTTTTTAATGATAAAAATTTTCAATGTTAAGTGAGCACAACACCACAGATGTACAACCAATCCTTGCTGCAGCAGGACTACACCTTATCCTGCGAGTTCATTGCTGTACTTGATGCAGAGGCTAAAAAGATGGTTCATGGGAAAAAAGTGCTTTGGTCTAAAGATAACATTGCAGCTGACCAGATTTCAGTGAGACACATTGCTAACGAAAGCATGCTGACCATTAAAGATGCAGGTAAGTGTAATCTTCGCATTTTTTGATATGAATATCTCTGGAAAAGTCTGATGAAAATTGAAATTGTCTTACTGAAATGCCAGGAACATACAGTTTGGCTTCATTATAAGCATAATATGTTATAATTATGGATGCTTTCATGTTGAATACTTTTCAAATTCATTGTGAACAAATGTAAGCTTAAATTAATTCATTAAAAGTGGTTTACTATGAAATGATTTGTTTTACTGTCTAGAGATAATCGGGGAATATAAATTGAGAATAAGAGAGATAATATTATCATAAAATTTGTGTCTCAAAATGACAAGAAAAACGTATTACAGTATTGTCTATCAAAATACAAATTTAATCCCCAAATGTAAAGTAGCCTCTTTAACAATATGCATGTACATTTAGTTAAATAAAAAATGGTCACATCAAACACACTGCAATGACTCAGCAAAATAAGTAGAAATTCCCTGAGGATGAACTCATGAGATATACTATACATGTACATTAATTAGAGTATTCAAAATTTAGTGCAATTACTAAGTATTGAGTGGTTGGCGTTATCATGAATTAGAAAATCCTGCTATTTAAATTTTCATGAATTGGCATATTGTTGTCTGCACTAAAAATATAAAGCCCACATTTTTAAGTACATGCACATACAGTATATGAATTAAGAATTAAAATTGTTTTTTCTGGCATTTCATTATGTCTTTTATTGCATAATTAGCTTATGAAGTCTCACTTACTTTTGAATTGTTAATTTAGTTGGCAATTAATGATTTAAAATAATGTACATTTACTTTACAGTCTGGTCCGATATTGGACTGTACAGCTGTGATTATACGGTTTCTTGGAGTACAGATGGTACGAAAGTAATACATAACACAGTGGCTTTCACAGGTTAGTATTAACTAGCTAGTATATTCAACCTAGTACAGTGTAGCCTCGTTTATCCAGACGCTTTGGTTCCTAGTTAATTTGTCTGGATACGTGAAGTGTCCGGATACCTGAATTACCAGTTAAACATGACAAAATAACATTTAAAAAATTTCCGTTTCGATGAAAATTCATCTGGATATTAAAGCATCTGGATAGCTGGCATCCAGATATCTGAAGGTCCACTGTATATTTTTTAAAATCAGCTGAATTGAAAGTCCAAGTGAGAATTTTCCTATCATATTTTGTCTGTAAATGTATAGTGTTTTTCCTAGGGATGTGCGATTTTATCGGTACACCGGTATATCGTGATTTTTTGTTGCGTGATACGTATCGTGATACGGAGACTTAAATACCGGTCTTTGAGGTACATATTTTAAAGTCCAGAAATTATTTATTTATTTGTTCAATCTTTCAAATTACAATTACAGAAAGTATAAAAAATGTTGTAAAAAGTGAAAAGAACGGCATCTTACCGTCCAAACATAATTGATTTTATATATAGAAAAATTTCAAGAAAGTAAAATTTTGTTTTTCTAGCATTTTTTTTAGAAAAATAATGACTTTTCATATAAAATCATTGTAAAAACTGCTTTTAAAAATATCATGATATTATTGTGATATTGTGGGAAAAAATCGTGATATATCGCGATACGAAATTTTTTGGCGATACCCATCCCTAGTTTTTCCTTCAGGTTAGATATTTGTCTGTCGGTATAAACTTTTCACATTTTCAACTTCTGAAGAACCATGGGGCCAATTAAATTCAAACGAACAAATGAATTATCTTGTTTAAATCATGACCCTCTGGTGGCTGGGTGGGGCCACATTGGCATTCAACGTTTTACATACATGAATACGGGGAAAATCCACACAGTCTGATTAAAATCCGATCTTTGTTAAACTCCAGAAATTCTGATGGATCGCTGTACAAAGACCATGAGAATTTTGGAGCATAACAAAGATCTGATTTTAATCAGACTGAATGTCACAAAAAATCTTATTAATTTTGGAAGCAATTCCTCAGAGGTGATTTAGAGTATGGTTAGGGTTAAGTGGGGGTCAAAATTTTATGTATAGATAATAATAATCTCTGAGAAAAAAACCCTCTCAGGAACAACAGTGCTATATTAGTCATGTTATTATAAAAACATCTTCAGCTACTCTGTGCAGAATCAGAAGTTTGTTCATTAATCATAGCGGCCAAGGATGAGTTGGGGGATAAAATATTCAATACATGGGAATATGTAAGGAAAATGCGTTCAAGTTTGTTCCAGTCATGGTTGTTGGGAAGGGTGGGGTAACAATATGGGATCAACAATTCATATAGGAATAAGAATTAAAAATCTAAAAATATTTTTGTGAGCTAGGGGTATAGGATCACATATCATCAAACTGTAAAACATAAGTGATATATTAAGTCTGTGGTTATATTCTGAAAAACTCATGATAATTAGGTGACTGTTAAGGCCCACAAGCCTCATGTTTTATCAATTTTCGTTTTGAGCAAAATTTGTTTTTGATATTCTTAAAAAGCTGTAACAAAAACACTTGCAGGAGAGGGGAGAATTGACGAGAAGAGTCTCCCTAGGTCAGTGAACCTGATCCAGGACGAAGACCTAGAACTGACCTGTCCAGTGTCAGGGTATCCCTACCCCAATGTGACTTGGCAGATTGATGGTGTGGAAATTAGCCCCGACAGCAGGAGAACTCTATCAACAGACCCTACTGGAAAGTACCAGAATGCTGTATTAAAGGTGGTTAAGGTGCAGTTTGAAGACAGGGGAATGTACACTTGCACTGGAAGATCAGATTTAAACACAGTGACATCATCTTCCATCACTGTGAGAGTAAAGGGTTGGTAAAGTAACTTAAATATTCCTTTAAAAATCATGCTTGTATAGTAAATGTTACCATATATACTCGCCTATAAGTTGGTCCCTCTATAAGTTCATTGTATTTTTATGCGCCCGGATCAAAAGATCCGAGGCGTATATTGTTTTTGTCCTGTCTGTTTGTCTGCAAACTTTAACCTTGGCCATAACTTTTGAACCATGAATGATACAGACTTCATATTTGGTATGAATACTCCACTAATTAAGCTCTTTCAAATGACACCAAGGTCTGTGACCTTGACTGTGACCTATATGCTAAACATAGTTTTTTTCTGTAAACTTTAACCTTCGCCATAACTTTTGAACGAAGAAAGATAGAGACTTGATGATTGGCATGCATACACCACTGATTAAGCCCTTTCATGAAACTTAAAGGTCAATGACCTTGTGAACTTGACTGTGTCCTATTTGTGCATTAATCATTTGTTTAGTGATTTAAAACTAAATTTCGGCGTTATTTCAAAAAAATATTAATAAAACCGCTAAAGACATCGGTGCATTGATTTAAAGTGTCAAAATGATTCTGGCAAAAAGTTACACCGACTTATAAGCAGGTCAATGGCAAATCTCTCCTAATTAACCTCAAAATATACAACCGACTTATAGGCGGACCAACTTATAGGTGAGTATATACGGTATGAGAGAGACTTCATATCTGGTATGCATACTTCACTAAGCAAGTTCTTTCAAATGACACCACCATCAATGACCTTGTGACCTTGACTGTGAACCTATATGCTAAATATATGTTTTTTTTAACTTTGTTACCACCGGGCGCATAGTGTTTCACAATCACATCTTGTTTGGAGTTATTTTGGAGGGATTTGCCATTTACTTGCCTATAAGTCGGAACAACTTTTTGCCAGAATCCATTGAGAATTTTAGATCAATTGAATGATGTTTTAACCTGGGTGCAATTAAAATTTTTCGAAAATGATGTCGATGATATTTAATTTTGAATCATTAAAGAAATAAATTTCAATATATTGCAATACAATGACAAAAAATATCGTATCGCAATACGATTTTGTAATATCGATATATTGGCAATATACTTAGATTAAGGAATTTTGTCATTAAATATAAAAATGGACTTATGAAAGTTTGTTATTAAGCCAAACAGCAAGTCAGAAGTTGTTTTGTGGGAACATTTCAGGAAAAACAGCACTTGCAGATATGCGCATTCTTTCTATCATGTGATTGCTATCAGTCTCTACCTTAAGATATAAATAAATAAAAATATTATAATATATAAATACTAATACTTTCTGTGTAATCTTTAAATGCATACATGATTATATAAATCTAGACTTTGTTCTTCAAAACTTGTCCAAATTGTACCGGTAAATAAAATGCTACAGTTCGCCCATCAGAAAAATACCACTCTCTTCATGACTCGCCTCTTAGTCGGACATAGAGTTTTGGACCAAAATTTAACTCCCTAAAAACCGACGGTTTCTTGTGGGTGTAAAATTTGGCATTAGCTTGCTCTTAAGTACTATGCCAATAATTTTGGTGGAATTGTTTGACAATTTTAATTAACTACAATTCCGTGCTGCTATCAAGAGATGATCAAGTATAACCCATTCAAATTTTTATAATAAATTAATTATTGCATGCATTTGCATAGTACCAGGGTATATTATATTCAATTTCATTCCTACAGACAAATACGCAGCTGTGTGGCCTTTCATTGGAATAGTATTGGAGGTCATTGTGCTGGGTTTGGTCATTTACTTATGTGAGAAGAGGAGGAAACACAGAGAAGAACAGGCAGAGGCAAATGCTGGCCTAGATAATGCCCAGGGGTAAGTAACACAGATAAATTTAACATTATTAGCTCTCCTGAGTTGAAAGATCACGTGAGCTTTTCTAATCATCTGTTGTAAGTTGTCCGTCCATCTTTAAACTTTTCACATTTTCAAATTCTTGCCAAGAACCACTGGGTCAATTTTAACCAAACTTTTTATAAAGCATCCTTGGATATGGGGGATTTGACGGAAGGACCAAATCCCCTTACAAGGGGAGATAATCAAGAAAATAAAAAAAATAGGGTGGGGTCATTAAAAAATCTTCTTCTCAAGAACCACATGGGCAGAAAAGCTGAAACTTATGTGGAAGCATCCTGAGGAAGTGTAGAACTAAACTTTTAAAAATCCTGACCCCCACCCCACCCCCTGGCACAATAGTAACAGTAGGGAATCCAAATTTTGTACTAAAATATGTAGGGAAATTTTTTAAAGTCTTTTTTCTCAAGAGCCACTGGGACAGAAAAGCTGAAATGGGATGGGGTGGGGGGGTGGGGGTCTTGATTTTTACTAATAGAAAATCTAACATGTTTTACATTGAAATATATAGGAAAACTCTTTGAAAATCTTTTTCTCAAGAACCACTGGGCCAAAAAAACTGAAACATCCTGGGGTAGTGTAGATTCTAAATTGTCTGATCCCTAGGGGTAGGTGGGGTCACGGTAGGTATTACAAGAGGGAAATCTGGTAAAGAACAGCATGGCTTAAGTTACTCAGGTGAGTGATGTGGCCTGTGGGCCTCTTGTTAGTACATTCTAATTCATCTTCCTTATGCATGGACCTAAGCAAATGGCAAACTTATCATATAATGCTTACAATATTCTGTTAAGAATGAATTAAAAGTTATCTGCATGTCTAAGATATAATGCAATTCACCTGACTACAAAGTTTAATTTTTAATAATCTTCTACATCACAGAAAACAGACAAGTGAGAAGAGACGTTCAGATGTCCGACAGAGAAGCAACACTCAGTAAACATCATTGACAGCTGTGATCAACTTCAGCAATAAACAACACAATCAACTGTCATAGACACATCAACATTATAACCAGCTGTGGTCAAGTGACAAAACACATATCATTGATCAACTGTCAAGCATCATCTGTGATCAACTGTCAAGCATCATACTGTATAAAGCCATTCTAAGTTTTTTCTCTGTTTAGCGTCCACTCATCTTTCAAAAACCTACCTACCTATTCGCAAAAAACACACAAGCCAAAACATAAAACACAAGCTTAAAAGTCATAAAAATTACGTCCTTCAAATGATTTGATCTAACTAAACTGCTTTAATAGAAGAAATATCTATTCCTAAGCAAAAACAGCGGATTAAATGCTTACAATACACCCAATATAACTTACTGTACAGAATTATTTGGAGAAATTTACAAGATTCAAAAATTTCGACTAAATTTATCAATTTCAGGACTGCTGTTGTTGTGTGTTTTTTCTCATATGGGGTGTCAAAAACCAAGGCGCACACAGACGCTAAACATAGAAAAAACTTGGAATGGCCTAAGCAGAATTTTTAGTGTGGATTTAATTTTGGCATTATTAGCGAGGGTGTCAAGATCGCTAAAATTAAATATTGCTAAAAATTAATCGCACTTTTTTGTAATCACTTCTTTAGTGAGCTTCTTAAATTCGCTAAAATTACATTCGCTAAAAAAAAAAACAATTTTTAAGGACAAATCGCTAAATTTGCTTCTCGCTAAAATTTCCACTGATACAGTAGATTAATTGAAGCCGCAGTGGGGAGGGGAAGGGAATGGGATTTGGGGTTGAGATGTGACAATCTGTTAATTGGGACATGTGAATATTTATTGCTGGAATATGGAATATGCCACCACATTTATTTTTCATTTCAAAATACGTACAAGAAATTGGGGATATGCACATATGAAGAAAAAATACTGCTTCATGAAGTACATGTATTTGTTAAAAGGAGAAGAGAAAGAACAAATTAAGCTACAAATTATTTGTAACACATACATGTATTTATGTTAAAACTTTATTGGCAGACCAAGGCAACATATAGCAGCTCAGCTTGTTTCCAAAATTCATAACAGAAGACATGTTAAGTGTAAAAATCTTGTCATTCATTTGAATGACGAAAAATGAAATCCATTTATAAAAACAATTACCAAAGAATTTGGCTGGGAGACATAACAGAATCATGGAAAGCTTGACCAGAAATGCAATTCAATAAATGATTACAAAATAGTGGTCTGCCAGCCACAATATTGTTACAACATACAGATGTGATAATGTGGTAAAACACAACATCAAAATTTATTGGAAACAAAAGTGGTGCATAAAAAGTGCCTCAGGACACACAAATAAAAATTATGTGGTTAATTAAACAAATGTGGTGGATGGAGTGGAGGTGGTGGTTGCTTTTTTGTTCACAAAAATTACGCGGCAGCACTCCGAGTAAACAAGAAGTATATAAATAGGAAGCCTTGCACGGTAATCTGATTGGCTGAAAACAGCTAAGGCCCTTGACAAAATTTATGGACGCGCGGTAAAACTGGGTCACTGGAAGAACCGGGTTTACAAATTAAAGGTTTTGTAAAATTACAAAAAGATAAACACATTTATTTTACATCCACAAAAATACATAGGTACATGAAATTTTTAACATAAATCGCTTTATTTGAAAATAAACCTTATTTTGTAACATGTGAATTGGTTATTTTATACGTAAAGGTGTATGATTTAGAAGATTTTGAATGTATGAAAAAGATGTGGTAAAAACTACATGTACAATTCTTTGCAGTACATTCTTAACCCAAGTAGGTGAATACTAGAAGACTTTTTTGCTTGAGAAAGTTTTTTTTAATTCACAGATTCTAATACATAGCTTTACAATACATATATACATTTTTTGAAGATTTTTAAAGAGAGAGAGAGAAGAGTAAGGATAGAAAAAGAGAGATATAGAGAGGAGAGAGTAGTTAATTTAATCACATAAAAAGATTCTTCCTTACACCTCCCAGGCTTTGTCAAAAGTAACCCGTTTTTTTTCTTGTAGGTTACTATACTTGTTTGTTTCATAGACATATGTTCATCTGCAAAGTTTTTATGTAACTTTTTTAAAACTTAATTATTTTAATAAAATTTTATTATCAGTTTGTTGTCCTTTTATAAATTACTTTATTGGAGTTCATTGTTTTTGTTGTTTTTTTTAAACAAATGTATAGAGTCAAGCTTCATTATCTTTACCTTGATGGGAAAGAGAAAAACTTGGTGGGGACTTGATTAGGACCTCCAAATTACTGTAGATCACTTAATTTTCGTGACACCTTATTTTCGCGAGATAGTCATTGACTCTTGATTAGTGAGACAAAATTTTCAAGAAATGTGGTTAATGCTCTTTATTATACTTCTGCTTAAATGTTTCCTATATAAAGTTCAGAAGGTAAAATAGCTATCTTTTATAGTTCATGCATAGCAAAGCTATACCCCGGGGTATAGTTTTTGCTATCCACCCTCGGAAAATTTTCATGCAATTTTTGCCTCCAATTTTGATTTCCAGCGATAAATCTATTGACTGATGATGTCACAATGACCTCAGTAGCATTGTGATGTCATCAGGATTTCAGATTATTCTTGCAGTATTACCTTACTCCAAAAAAATTCAAACCTCAGAAATTATATTATACATCAGTATAATAAAACGCTTATCCACTGTTTGTGAGTGGGATAGCTCTTTTATCAAACCCTTGACAGGGACTATTCCCCTTGGGCAAGCCCTCGGGGAATAGTTCCCTGTCGCGGGTTTGATAAAAGAGCTATCCCACTCACAACCAGTGGATAAGTGTATAATATAATCTTAAGGAATACTATTATACGCGAGAATTAAATTTTCACGAATTAAAAGTGATTTACAGTACATCAACATATGATATTCAAGATATCCATGTTAGAGATACTGGAGCTCAATGTTAAAGTGAAGTAACTAAAACTAAGCTAAAGAAAAGGATTCAATATACTAGGCATTAAATGTTAATGCATTGATCATCGCATGTCATTTACACCCAGTACAGTAAAACTTGGTTGTAATGAAGTCACTGGGACCTATGAAATAACTTTGCTATATCTGTAATTTGTATCCATATAAGGAATTTGTTATATTTATGTAGCTGGCGATCCAAGATAACTTCACACTATCTGTGAAATTGCAATATCTGTACCGGTACTAAACAAGTTTTACTGTATAAATCTAAATCTCTGGGACACATATCCGGTAGTTTTAATTACCGGTACTTTTACTTTAATTGCATGGACAGACAAAGTAACTCTACAAAGTCTATTTAATAGCCTTGTCTATTCAGCATATGGAAAATCATACGCAATGGAAGCCGCCGATAAATATAGCTTGTTGGTCTGAAAAACATTAAAATGGATGACCAGAGAGCTTTGGTGCCACGAGTTGAAAAAAAAGTGAATCTGTCCAGACTAGAAAAGGTTATGTGATAATAATGGGTCAATCTATCTGTCTTTTACAGTTTTACTGGATCAATTTTGGTATGAAGTGGTAAAAGGGAACAATGCACTAAGTTACATACATGTAGTTCTGTATATCAGTTTTTGTTTTGATTTTGACAAGGCCTTTGGCATGTTTGATATACACTGATATATAAAAGAAGTTTTTTTAATTATTTGAAAATACTATTCACACTGTTTTAGCTCATTCTAAAAGGACTTGGTAAATATGTATACAGTACTAAGAAACCTAATTCTGAATTCTGGTTTATTATTTTCTCTTTTTTTTTTTGGCTTTCAACAAAGACATTGTCATAGAAATTTCTTTGAAAATTCTTTCAAATTACTAGTCCTCCTACAGTTCAGTTCCAGTTACAAAAGATGTAAACAAGATATTGGCAATATTAAAGGTATGTACCTGTTTGCCAAAAAAGAAGGGATGGTACCACTTGCCCTTGCTATGATTGGTTATGTTGCCAAATAATGACAAGTGAGACCCCTTGGTATGATTTGTTGGTTTTCCTAGTACAGAGGAGTGGTACCCGGTAATCCCTTTTATCATTCAGGTTTAGTATATTTTTATTCAGAATGTGACATCCCTTGGAATGGTTATATATGCTGTGGTACTAGTACCCATTTAAATTGATATGTGCAATGTCAATTAATGAGGAGTGGCACCTCTTGTACAGATAGGTAGGTTGCCAATTGCAGAGTCTTGACACTGCTTGGTATGGTTTAGAAAATTGTCAGTTAAGGAGGTATGGTAGCCCTTGGTGTGGGAAAGTTTGTTACCATTTAAAAGAAATGGAACCTTTGGCTTGGTTTGGAATATGATGCAAATTAAGAGGAGAAACACCGGTACCCCTGGTAATAGTTATAGGTGCATTGAATGAAGGAGGGGTGATACCCCTCAGAATGGATAGGTATGTATCAGAGTAATGGTTTACGCTTGGTAGGTTAGGTATTTGCAAATTTAGGGGGATTCCTTACTAGCAATTTTGAAATGTTTTGGCATGTAGCTTACTAATAAAGATTAACCATGGATACATAAGGTGGTTGAAAAAAAAAAAGAAGGAAAAATGAAAAAGAAAAGAAAAAAAGGTGGAACCTTTTAAAATGGTATGTTGACAATGGTTTGAAATGTTACAATTTAGGAGGATGGCTATTGATAGCAATTGCTGGTTTTGCCTGTTACTTTTAAAGGAGTCAAGGCACCCCCTCCTCCCTGTTGGGATGGTTTTGTATTTTGTCAATTCAGAAGGATTTACACAGGAATACATTAGTATGGTGGGTTCCAAACTAAGGAGGAGTGGCACTAATTATAGTATTGTTAGCAAGGGGTAGCACGCCAAAGCATTCCTACCAATTAAGGAAGAGTGACAAACCCTTAGATGGTCTGGTTGGTTACCAATAGCTGCAGAACTGTATTGAAAGACCGGAGAGCTACAGTGCCACCCATTGAAAAAAATGTATATTTATTGCACACAAAAAAGTGCGCTCGGTTCTGAATTAATTTTTCCAAAGTCTCACCTTAATTGCAAAAGCCAGATTTCATTAAAGTCCTTACTCCTCTGTGAAACAGTGAAAGAATATGTAAGGAACACACGGTTAGTAATATTTTGAGATGACAGTTTTAGAAACATGGAGAAATAAATCAGGAAAAAGTGCACTTTTTAATAAATATACAGTTTTTTCAATGGGTGGCACTGTAGATCTCCGGTCTATAAATTTTTTTTTTCGGAGAGCTACAGTTGTAAGGATGAACATTACACCCCTTTGATGGGGTTAAGTATTTTCATAATTATGAAGGAAACTTTCCTCGGTATAGTTCGGAATTTTGCAAATTAAGGTGGAGTGACACCCCCAGCTTTTCCCCGACTATGCAAAATAAGAAAAAATATTCTGTACGCTACAATGTTTAAAAAATATCATAAAAGCGTCATGTAAAACTCAGCGGGGTGAAATTGGGGGAGAAGGGGCACTGAATTCCTATATAGCCTTTTCAAATTAATTGACCTCCTAAATAGATTTAATTTATAGCCATATTTCCCTTTTTTATAAATTGTAATTATTAATGATGAATTACTTATTAATTTTCGGTTGATTTCTGTGTCATATATGACGTTATTACATATTAGAAATCTTTATGGTCATATATTATTTTTATCATTTGTTGCAAGCTCTCTAATTGGCTCATACATAATCACATGATTAAGTATATAACAGCATAAAGACTTGAGTTACTATTTATAGAAACTGAAATGCATATCGACTTGATGTTTCTTAAAATGGAGATAATTTTCTATAAAAGAAAAATAGTTCTGATTTCACAATTATTACCAATACAGAATAGGACTAGATGTTTCTGAAAAAAAAAAAAAATGTTTACTTCAACTTGTATAATACGTATTATTTCATTTTCTGTAATTGATGAGAGTCAGTGACAACAATGCCTTGAAGCCTTGAATTAGGATCTACTTTAAATTGAAACATATTGGATATATTTGTCAAAAATTGATAGAAACATAATCAAATAGATTATAAAAGTATTTTGATAAAGTAAATCCTCTAAATTACTCCATCAATATAAATATATATTTTAATATCTAGTCTCATAGTGTAAAAGAAAGAAAATCTGAGCCATGTTCTTATTATTTTCACATTCTTTTTTATCAATCTATATAAAAAATAATATAACAAATGTAGCCCTTTAATTCGGACAATCCATAGATATATCGACTTCACAGAGAAGCATATCGACCTCGCACTTCGTGCTCAATCGATATGCTTTTCTGTGAAGTCGATATATTTATGGATCGACCTCATCAAAGGGATATATTTATATGATATTGCGTTTTTTTTTTGTTTGTTTTTTTTGTTTTGTTTTTGCATTAATTCAAATAACCAAAATAAAAAAAAATATTCTTTTAAATTACCTAGAAAATACGAATTAAATTTCCTGTAAATTACACAATTTTAATTAATGGCATTTCAAAGATATTAAAATATGTACATCAATTCCTATATAGCTTTTTCGAATTAATTGACCTCCTAGATTTATAGCCATATCAAGTTATTTTCCGTTTTCTGTAAAATTAATGGTAAACTACTGAATTGCTTTATAATTTATGGTTGACTTCTGTGTCATATAGGACGTTATTACAAATTACAAATCATTAAATTCATATTGTGTTGTTTTCTTTCTTTCTTTCTTCTTCTTCTTCTTTTTTTTTTATAATTCCGATAACCAAAAACTAAACAATCTTTGTATTATTATGTTCCCCAAACAAAGTTGGGGAACATATTGTTTTTACTCTGTTTCTTCTTCTTATTATTATTAAGGTCTTCCGTCTTCAGCGGAAGACCTTCTTGTTATTCTTAGGTTTCTTTTTCACTTTTATTATTCTTTTTTTTCTTACCGATTTTGTGCACGCGATTTCTCAAAAACGGCTTGATGGATTTCCATGAAACTTTCAGGACTTATGTTACATTACTTGAACCTTATGTATTTTTTTCCGATTTGATGACGTCACTTCCGGTTTGTAGATATTGTCGATTTTATGATTTTTGAAGGGTCGGGTTGTCTCCAAACTTTCTCAATAATGGCTCAAGATAGAAACACGAAACTTTCAGGTATGATAAACCA